ACCATAATGATTCTATGATTCTAAGTCAAGTTTTCAAGTTGGTACAGAGAGCTGAACTTCAACTGTCCACATAGAGTAACGACTGGCCTTCTTTTAACCAACCAAGTAATAGTATGTTTTAGAATTTAACACTGGCGATTCCTTGTGCCCTCTGCTAATTTTAATTTTTTTTTTTAAAAAAAAAACCACAATAACTTAGAGATTATGTCTTACTGTAGGAAAGAATAAAAATATATTCTTCAGTGGAAAGTCCTAGCAGTTAATCTTCCCAAGGCTATGCTTAGACTTAACAAAACCCATTAATTGCTTCCCAGTCAGCTTACTGAAGTCATCCAAATATTTTCATGAGACACCAGCTTTCAGATTCTGTAGACTAATCTTCCCCTCCCACACATGTACATCAAAACACTTTAATACAGTTTCCACAGAAACAAAGCGGGGAGAGGGGAAGCAGGGTTGCTTATAAAACAAGGTAAGACTTGGACTTTGGATTCAGCTCTTCATTTTTTCAGAGCAGCAAGGCAAGTTTCTGAAACTGCCTTTAACTGTTCTATTGTAAGCAAGAACAAAGTCACTCAGATGTCTTGAGCTTAACAGTTACCATTGTTTTATGCACTTTATATGCACATATTCCACACCGCATCCTTTCATTCTACCTGGCTTGCCCTTCACACTTAACCTAAACTTTAGAACCATGTGGTCCTTGCAATCAAGACAGCCTTTTCTATTCCGCAAGATTCAATATAGCAGGCCCCAGTTCAGATTCCATTATTTCATAAACAAAAGAACAACTTCATGCAGCAGATGTGTCTTTTAACCACATCTACATTAACAGATTACAGTAGAAAAAAGCCACTCTACCGTGTCCAGAAAACACGGAATAAGCCTTAATTTATTCTGTACAAACCTTTAAACTGAATAACAGTAGAGCTTCGGAAAACAACTCCAATTTTTTGTAGTTTTCCATCTTACTTTTTAGCTGACTTTTTACTTGAAGTAGATTTTTGCCTTCTTAAGGGGTATTCTTTTCTAAATGACTGTGTAGTAGACATCTGTACAGAAATACCAGATCATTGTTTAAGTTGGAAATTGACTTATCTTCAAGTTTGAAGTCAAATAAAATAGAATTAATGTTATTTTCAAGCTGACATTTTGAACTTTGCTACTGACATCTCTGTTCATTATACTAATGATACTACCACAGCAAGCAATGCAGACAATCTCATTTTATACCCAGAAGAGAAAAAGCTGTCAAAGTTTCCCAGAATACATTTAAGGGTATGAGGAATACAGGAAAAAAATAGTTTCTTAAAAAAAAAAAAAAAGTAGCTTCAAGTTGTAGAGTATTTCTTTAGACAAGCTATTCTAGTTATAAATAAAACAGGATGAAATTGATGGGGAAAATAACTTTACTACCCACCCTCTGAACCTGCCCAGATTACTACTAAGGCCGAAAATCATCTTTTTGTAATTGTCATGCATATAGATGTCAGGAACCTTAGTTTTACTTCAAAGGCACTGCCCAAAACATCACATTTACTGATAGCATGTTCAAACTCGTCCTTTTCATAACTATTCAACACACAACCTTCTTCCCTTTGAATCATTGCACACTGTAGGTAGTACCCATTCTTGGCAAATACAGACTTACTCTCTTTGGTTAGCTTATAGAATTTAGTAGGAAGACAACAGAAGTGTTTAAGAATCCCATTCAAGTACACAGCTAAGGATAAGATACTGCTGCATAAGAATATTTGCTCCTTTCACAAAAGGATTTCACAAAATTTGCTCCTTACACAAAAAGATTTGATTTTGTTTGCTTCTAAAAAAAAAGGTTTTGTTGTTTTTTTTAAAATTTGAGATGAGCAGTACGTGGTTAGTTTAGCACTACAGGTTTCCCCTCAGTCCTTACTTTTAGGAAATTTGAAAAACAAACTGTGTCTTCAGTAAACTTGTGACAGTTAAAGTTACTGAATCATTTTACAATCTATTTCTGTTTGGCATATATAACATAAAAATAATATTTAAGACACATTCAGGTGAATAAAACAGCACAGCAATAAACTACCTTTACATTTAGATCCATGTTATTGAAAAGTTACTTAGCTAAATGTTATTTAAAAGGACTGGTAAAACAATCTTCTCTAAAAACACGGCTAACTATGTTAGATGAAATACATTCATCTGTAGATAAAGTTCTGGTACTTTTCAGTGCCCTCAGAGAGGTGCTTATTTTTACACCTTCTTTCCCAGCAGCCTGAAGAATACTACTCGAAGAAAATTGGTTCAAGACACAAGAAATTTAAATCAACTCTGGACATTACCCTAGAATGAAGTGTGGAATTCCAGAGGCATTAACTTACACAGCTGTCAACGGTTACTTTTGCAATTCAAGTTTAACAAAATGAGTTTATTGAAGGGCCACTGAACACTAATCACTGAAGTGATTACTTCCCTTCATTATTTTACTAAGAGATTAAAAAAATATATCACTTGGGAACGTTTGAACAAGAAAGGCTAGAAAAGCATCAGATACTTCATTCTCCATCTGAGACAAGCTCACTCACTGAAAGACATCACTTACCACCTAGCCAAATCATCCACAGGTCATCCATCTGTCAGCTTCAAAAGTCCTTAAAAGTAGAGAGATTCGTAAGCCCCACAAGTAGGATTACAAGTATGTAAATACCACCACAATGTGGTCTTAGGGTTTCATAGCCTTTGTAAGTGTCTCAGAGATAGCTGTGTGGGTGTGAATGCCAATAAAAGGCAGAGGAAAGGAACACGCCGTTCAAGTAGGAGCAATGGAGATTTTTACCACCTTAAACTGCTGTGAAGCCTTAGTCTCACATGTAAACACCACAGCACATCAAGAAGGCCGGAGCACAACTGAACCAAGCACTACTGAAGGAATTCAAGAGGAATCAAGGTCTACAGAAAACAGGGAGGTTCAGGAACTGGTACAGCAAGTTCTGTGTTGTCCCTCTAAGTAGAAATATATCAAAGGAAACACAGGCTGGAGAAATAGTCCATGGAAGTGGTCTTGAAACTCTGAAATGCATTGATTAAACCCAGGGGCTTAACTTGTTATTGCCTATTATAATAGATTCTAATTGATACCAATGATTGCCTAAACCAAATGAAGCAATTGTATAGAACTAGTCTGTAATCCCACAGATCAGAGCTAGACACAGGAGCAAACGGTACCAGCAGGGAGAGAGAAATGTAAAAGATAAAGTGCAAATCAAGGACAAGGGGCCAGAGTCTGGATAAATTGAAGTCTGTGACCTTACTGAACAAAGGCCAGAGATTCACCCCTGGGGCAGGAGGGGGTGGGGGTGCAGACATTTGAATATACCCTAGATCTATCCTTAGGATCTCAGAGGAAATCAAAAGATAAGGATAGGGTTTTAACAAATGATCAGAGCAACACATTGAAAAACTGCACTGGTAAGGAGCTGCCCTGGTGCCTCACCTCCATCTTACTGGGTTGCAGAAGCATGAATTGGATTTCCATCTCTGGTGTTGGGAACCGACTAGTTTTCCCATTTTCTGCAGACACTTCAGAAGAGTCAAGGGCAATTTCTGAATGGTCCTGAAAGCGTATGGAAATTTTAGGAAAACAACTTTTAAAATAACTATGAGTTAAAACATGGTAATACGTATCCCTCCCCAGTGAACTGCAAACTAAGCATTCCATTTTCCAGCTGTTAGCTTTCGGAATGCTTATAATAGAAACAAAGAAATCTACTTCAACTATAGCAGAGTTTAACTCTTACTCTCTAAAACCTTTTTGTTAAATTTCAAAAAGTTAACATTTCTATTTATGATCACAGAACTTACAAGCTTTCCTTGCTGAACTCAGCCTGACACTTTGTTTCCCAGTCATTTTCCTCAAGGGCAGAGACAGCTAGTCACAGTTTTCACAGCTAGGTGTAGTAGAATTGACAGGATTTTCTTCCTCTTCACTTTGCTGCTTCTTAGGAACTAGGCAGTAACAGGAGCTTTGAGAAAAAAG